GGTTAGTGACAAATCCAAACTCATATGGACTGAACTTGTGCAATCTTAACTTCTTGTCACCTGGCAGCACAAGGTCCTACCATTGCTTCCAAGTAGTTATGAAAATAATTGAGAACTCATAGAACTCATATGCATAGTCAATTTTAACCGGAATGGTCACACAAACAAGAATATGTCAACACGATAGGTTACAAACCTCAAGTCGTGTGCTAGTGGTAAACAACAGGTTTTATTCTTGATTAGTTCTAGAAACTTTTCCAAGATCTTTAATACTCCCACTGACCTCTTGACATATAAGATTCACTTGTCAAGAACCATTCCTTGACAAAACAAATATTCAAGAGTTAGTGCGGATTCTTATCAAGATAAACACTTCACTCAATTGGTCTTAGTTGGTATTTGTTTTATCCAAAAACATCACAACTTACCAATTTCAAATGTAGAAGAGTAGAAAACATTTTACTCTACATTTGATAAGTGTTTTAAACATTCTTAAGATTATGTCACTCAAGTTACAATCTTGGAGTATTACTCTAGGACTCAATTTTGGAACAAAGTATGACTTATCTTTTTGATTTAACCAATTCAACAATCCACGATTCCTCTTCTTAACCAAGCAAATGCACTAAGATGTCCTTAGAGAATCAATTGTGATATGGTTTCATAATCACTAAGATAATCACAAAACAAGATACTCAAGTACTCTTCCATCTTTTCAGATTGGAGAAACTTTTATCTTTCTGCCTAATTTGATTCTTCTTATTCGTTCTGCCTTACATTGGAACTTTTCCAATGTTTCAGAATTACACTTAAACTTGTAAGTATAACCATATTTACTAAACTTTAGTAAATCATGACGAATAGCCTTATCGTTCTGTGTGGTGGACCTGATCAGCGTACAACCAAGTTTAACCGATCTCCTAGTCCTTCACTTCACTCACATATACATGTAAACAAGGAATTAGTCTTAATTTACCAAAGATGAAAATTCTCATTCATCATACAATACAAGTTGCATGATTCCAAGTTTTGATCCAACTGAAACTTGGGTGATGAGAATCTTTCCTTATTTGGTAAATTATGACACTACCACAAACGAAATAATCAAATCCATTTTCCAATATTGCTATCAATAGAACCATATAAACAACAAACACATATGAAAACTATGTTGTTATCTATTCCTAAGCAATCTATCATAACTCTTAAGCAGCAACTCAAAATTCTGATCTTCGAATCATGCGATCGAAATCCATCTATTCACGATCAGAATCAGCTTACTCTTCTTTTAAGTTCCCTTTCTTCGATTCTATAAAACATCAAAATGTGACCTAGTCACATCATGTAATAAGAATCTCCAAATAGGAACTTAATAGAGTCAGATAGTGGACTTTACCTGACTTTTACCATCCTAGTGAATTTTCAGGTAGACAGGACAGCTTCGCAACCAATGCCTCTTCCTTTGGCAATCAAAACATATGGACTCTTTGGTAATGGTACATGGGACTATCTCAGACTTAGCCTTTCTCTTTACCATTTGGTCAACCGGGTTGACTATGGCCGATCCCTTTCCATTGGGAAGAGAAGACTTTTCTGGACTTCCAATGTTTCCATTGTCAATTTCCATGAAAGTTTGGGAAGTAGATATTCCAATCAAATTTGCTTTACCAGTGCTCCAAATCATTGCTGATTCAGCAGCATCAAGCAAACAAGTAGGATCATTAAGGGTCACATCGTGATCTGTCATCAGGGAGTGACTGAAGAAGCAAGTCAATAGCCAGCTACCTCAGACTTCGACACCCAACTCTCCCAGCCTATCAATATGTAACTTCATCTCCAAGATGTAAGCACATATAGACTTTGCTTTCCAATAGGAATTTAAGTGACCTTGAACTTTTCAAGAAGTTGTGGGTTAGGGAGAATAATTGGAGGAAGAGAAGTATGATTTCCATGATCCAATCGTGGGACATCATCTTCACTAGGAAAGCTTGTTCCTAGAGATTTTGGAAGATCATAGTTGTCTGAACCAGACATCTACAATGGGAGAAATTCAAGTTAGTTTATTTATGTCCTTAATATAACACCCAATATGAAATATTAAGGCTAGGACCCAACACAATATTTTATAACTTAGACGAGGGATGCCGTAATCCAAGCTATAAAATATTTGAAGGTAGGCGAATGACGATTCACCAATTTCCACCATGAAAACCTAATAGGTTATTGGGTTTTAATTGGATTGAAACTCCTAGATCTTTTGAGATTCATTGAAGTTTTCAATGGCATGTTTAAATCTCGGTTGTGCCCTCTCAAGTTTGTGACTGGGATGCCGAGGATCACTAACAAGGTGTGAACAACCATGCAAATCAACTTGGTACACTTAACTGTATCACCTAATCGATGTGCCGGTTAACCACACACGCTCCACCGATCTATGATAAACATTAAGTTACCCTTTGCCACTCTTACTAGTCCATGTTAGTGTGCCGGTTAACCACACACGCTCCACCAACGACTTGGTAAGGTACAAAGTGTAATTTCATGGGTTAGCACCAAATTTACATTTTCCTAAAGTAACTAAGATTGAGAATTTAATAAGGTTTAGTTACTTTATATGTATCATTATACTTTTAATGAAGGGAGAATTAATGTACTGTCAAACCCGTTCGACTAACGACCCGCCACCAGTCAAGGAAGGCGGTGGGTGAAAGTGGACACCCATTAAACTGCCATTTTATAGGAAGTAACCTTATACCCCCTTATAGGCCGGCTTCGTGAATGAGGCGTACTAACGGTAAGACTGACTTACTCTTATACATATATATCAATATTAAACCTATAATATTATAATAGTATAAGGGTTGAATTTTAAACTATTTAATAATCTGGGGTTTGGAACTAAAGTATACATGGGGGGTAACTTTACAAATTCCAAAACTTGAGGGCAAGTTTTGAACAATTCAAAAACTTTTGGTTTCCATAACTTATGAGTTTAAAGTAGTTTTAATGAAAAAACTCTTCAAGTTCCATAACTTGAGGATAAGTTATGGAAGACTTTAAAATATTTAAAAATGAGACTCTTCATTTTCATAACTTATGGAAATCTTATGAGTTTTAAAAATCATAAATGAGACTTTTCATATAACTTGAGGGCAAGTTACAAAAACACATATTATGAACAACTTTTAGATCAATATGGATCGAAAACAAATTATCACATAATTTTCTATTAATCTAAACTAATTCATAAGAACAAGATCATTCAAATCATCAATCTTCAAGAAATTAGCATGAACATATAAACTAATACAAATCTTGAAATTATGACAATTATCTTTGAATTGGATGAGAATCAACATTACCATAACATAAAAATCAAATTTTATGAACCAAAACACTTTGTGGTAATGATTCTAATCCAAAACAGGACAAAAAAAACTCGAATATATGCTGTCAGGGGCTCCAACTCGCCGAGTGCAAGAACCAACTCGGCGAGGTGGCTGAGTTTAAACATGGACTCGTCGAGTCCCCTGTCCAGACAACAAAAATTTTATTTTTTCATATTTTTTTAGCAAGTAGCATCAAGTGTAATTTGAAAACAACCCATTGCTCTGATACCACTGATGGGTTTTGTATACTACAACATCTTATGGTGCACATACAACCCTAAATACCTGTGATCTATGTTTTCACTAATTATACATGCAAAGGGTTTCCAAGGCATTGATCCTATAACTAGCATGCAATTGTCATATACCATATAAGATACTAGTTAGAGTAACATACCTTTTATGTAGCTTGAAGTCTTTATGTATTTGGCCTTAAGAGCTTAGCCCCAATAATGTGGAAGCCTCAAATGAAGTCACAACACATCATGGACAAAGGATGAAATTTGAGAGAGAATTCATACACACCAGAACCGTCCATATCCTCCAAGAATACCTTAGTGGTGATTTTGGCTATGAAGTAACATATTTATATGTGGAACTCCAAAGGTCATGGGTTAACCCAAACCCATACCCATGGGTTTATGATCCAAGGTTCATGTGGCCCAACTCTTTATGTATCCATACATAAACTTGGTCCAACATGGATCATAAGCCCAACACATATAAATATAACTAATTACCATAATTCGACCCCATAGATTTAATTAGTCTCTTTTGATCACTAAATTAATTCCAAATTAATTCTTGATCAATACTAATTAAAACATATGACTTCATATTAATATATTACAACTTACAATATATTAATAAATCATACATAACCTTCTCTCAAGAGTCTATCCTAACAAATTGTCCTGATGGTATGCAACCCAAATCGACCATGCTACTCTCGAGTCAAGTACATACCAATAATAGTTATGGGCTTAGACATCTAACCCAACAACAACTTCCCAAGGCTCAAGACTTAGAACAAAGTATCAAAATGGGTAATCAGCAAACCTTAGCTAACAAAAAATGGGGAGGAATACCCTAACAAAGCAAACTAGACAGAAACACCAAGTCTAGAAATAATGATCTACGACCCAAATAATGGTCAAATTTCAAGCCCGCAGCACGAGCTCCCAGGAAAAATCCAAAGCAATTTAAGCAAATATAGGTCCTAGAGTTATAAGTTAGGCAAATCCAATAGCACGACTAGATCGCCACACAACACCACCGCCCACCAAGCAGAGAGATCTAACTGTCTCGAGTCGACACCCCAATGTCAACACCAACCTGGGGGAAGAATCGCCTCAGCAAGAAAAAATAAGGGCGCATAATTGCCAATGGCCAATATAAACCACCTGGGGATAGAAAAAAGGGTATCGCAAAAGCATAAATCACTATGCTACCAAAACACAAAAAAAAACCTTGTCTTGCAGGACAAACCTCGGACTTGAAAGGACCGCACAAGGCCAAACAATCATTGAAAGTATTGTCTTGAAGACATTGTCTCAGAAACACACAAGTTCAAACATTGTTCCACATAAGAAAATCAGGAAGAAAGGAAATTCACTTACCGAGATCATAGGAGGAAAATCCAAATTTGAAAGGGTCACCTTTAGTAGGGTTGTCCTTGACGTCAGGATTACGACACAGCTGGCGAAGACCCTCCAAGTCGAGCTCAACCAAATGAAGGAGGGAGGCAACATTCGTTTCCATGAATGACCTCACAGAAGCATGCATGGCCTGAGTCATTTCCACCATAATACTTGGCTCCCTCAGATTGAATTTCCTAGAGGCCACCTGTTCCTTCAGCGCCTGCTTTCCCCCCTCGATACCAGCTGCAACACATGCCGCCTTCATATGCCGGATCCCATCCGAGAACTCAAGACTCTCAATGACTCGATCAACCACTCGAACAATACAATCTCGTAACAGCCACAATCTTCTTCCTAGATTCCTCGGCAACTAGCTGTCCAACCTGATGCTTCACCTACTCTTCCAATAACCCCCTCTCTCCTACCAAAGTCTCCATTCTCTTCGCCAAACGCTCCACTGACCCATCCAAACTTGAAAGTTTTTCCTCCACATATGCCTTCTTACCGGCCAAAAGGTCATAACGCTCTTCAAATTTGCACTTCTCCTCCTCCAGCCCCAAAACTCTCTCCCTTAACTCATCCCGCTCAGCCCTAGCAAAGGCAAGATCTGTTAAATCTGAACTGACCTTATGAAGCCGCCGAGCGGCAGCCACCAAATAAGGAGCGACCCGAGCCACTGCATACCGGAGACTGTTAGGCATGTGAGAGTTGGATATGATCTTCAAAGCTTCGATTGTGGCCGGAAGAAAAGCATGATTGCCCCATTCGTACACAATGAAATGTTGCATAAGAAGGGACTCCCTAGTGAGCCCCCACTCTAGGATATAAACTCTAAGGGCCGTCATAGGCGAAGAAGAAGAACCTGCAATAACACTATCCTGCGCCATAGGAGAAGCAAAATTAGAAGAGGTTTGAAACTTAACCTTAGGCTCCTTGCCTGTAGCGCCTTCACCAGGAACGGTAATATCCCCTAGCTCATCCTTGGTTTCACGATGTTGTTCGATCGCCTCTTCATCCATTCCTTCCGACTGTTTCGAAGTGTCATCATTGGGTATTTCCACCACCACGTCTGACTCCCCCAACAGATTGTCAACGTTCCGTTTCTTACGAAGAAGCTTGCCAATGGTGCTAGAACGGGCACCCTCAATAGGTAGGAAGTCTAACCAAGCTAACCGCCACTTGATAGATGAGCGGCTCCCTCTAGTCGTCACCTCCCTTGACGCTTCGTCCTCCAAATTAGGAGGCAGAGGATTGTCATAAGAAACACCCTCAACATTTGCATCAATCAGCTCTGGGTCAGCCTGTGCACTGGACCCTTGCACCATAGCACCACTAGGACTAGCAAGAGCTAGAGCACGATTAGAGCTGATTGGTGGAGGAAGGATCTCCACTAGAGGTACTTCCATGTGTGCTGCAAATTGCCTTAGAACCTACCCCGTATGACTAGGGCTGTTCACTCTTTGGATAAAACTGAATTATCCAATTGGACAATTTGGATTCGACTATTTGGTTCGGATATTCGGATTTTTGGATAGGTTTTCAACAAAACCGAATTATTATTTTGGATTTCAGATTGGTTTTGGTTTATAAAATAAGAACCGAATAGTCTAAAAAAACCGAATAAACATTTATTATTTATTTATTTATAATATATATCCATAGTTATTTATTAGTTATGTAATTTATTCTTTCAAATATGTTCAAAATGTTATAAAAAACACTAATATGCATTTTCTCTCAAAAGTTTTCTATCTATAAAATATTTAACTATAATATACCATCTTTTTAGTTATTTATAAATTTCAAATCACAACTAAATAATTTGTTTTCACTTCTTGTGTAAAATTGGGAAATATTATAATTATATGTAGTTTAAAATGTTTAGGTTTTTTAAAACCGAATTATAAAAACCGATCCAACTGAATTGTAATTGGATCAGATCGGATCAGATTTGAACTTAGTTTGGACTATTCAGATCCACGTTTTGAAAACCAAAATCAATTTGGATTTCTTGATTGGATCGGATCAAACCGATCCATCCAAACGAACACCCCTACGTAGGACCATCTCGAAAGGAATGATCCTCTCACGAGCTACGACAAAGAACAAATCACATATGTAAGGATTTGTAAATCCCTCTCTACACAAAGATTCACAAAAAAATATAAATAAAGGGGGAGGGGGGAAGGAGATGCACATACATCATCCTTCTCCACGAAGAACTAGGGCATCATCCAGCATGCCCTCCAGGCGGCGCTCATCCTGACGGCGGCCAACATGTAGTCCTATTAATCTTCCCCATTGAAGGAGATAATTCTTAGCGCCTGCGCCACAATTTCGCTGACCCCCCCCCCAGAGTTGGGGCGTCTGGTCGGTGAAAGCGATCCTGCGAGGATAACCAAAGCCGAAAAAGTTGCGTTTCACCCACAACCATCTGTCCTGCCAGTTCTTCATGGGGTCCTTCTGGTTTATGATGAATGCATGGACACCCCATCGTTGAGAGAATGTATGCATGCTAGATTGAGTAAAGGAGTTGAAGAAGTACTTGAAAGCCCAGAATTGAAGGAGCACGACCAAAGCCCGACATGCCATTTTGAAACCAACAATATTGTTGACCGTGTTAGGGGTCAGATCACCAACAGAGAAGCCATACTGATGCATGATCTCATTGACAAAGTTGTTTGTCGGTAGCCGAAGAGTCGCCTCAAAGATTGGGATTGGAACTCCAACCTTCCCTTCAGGCGGTCGGGAAATGTGCCCTCCCCTTCGACGATATTGCACCCTGGGCTCGAGAAGAAACCCAAATCAGGCCTGCAGGGACTCAAAATCTTTTGGTGTAGGTTCGATTCCGGTGATAGGTGTTGCCATTGCTTACCACTAACAGATGCAAGATGCAAGATGAAAGAGAAAGGAAACGAAGAAAAAAGAAGGGATGGTTGAAGAGAAGTAGTGTGAAGAAAATGAAACTGTCCCCGATAGGGAAGGCTTTAAATGGGAGGCAGGAAATTCGAACGATCACAATGATAAAACCGTCTGCGTAGCCGATTTTGTCACATCAGCAGATGTCGTAGCCATCCTCGCCGAACACGTGTCTTCATCTAAGCTAGAACAAAACAACTACCCAAGGCTAACACTGAAGTCTACTAGCCTAGGTTAATTATTAACGTATCCCTCTGAGAATACGCCAAAGATACACAGGATGATTATCCATTGGACGGCCTAGCTAATGGTTATTACCCGGTGTAAATGCTAGGTCTGGGACTTTACCCTTACGGTCTCGTTCTTAGGTCCCGACGTCCTAACACCAAGGCCTATAACAGGCCAAAATAATACCAGATTACTCCCATAATGACAAGTGTAGCGCTCAGAGCACCGCTTCTCAGTAACTCTGTGCTAATAGCGGATAACAACTAGTGGTGCATGACTCACCAATAGGATGCATCCACGTCCTAACAGTCCAAGCAAGACAAAAGGTACTGTCAGGGACATTCTTACCTGATGACAGGTATAAAAGAGATCCTTCTTCTCTAAAAGAAGGATCTCCCTCTTTCCACCTAATACAAAACTCTAATTCTCCCATATAGTTACTGATTAGACTGTCAGAGTCTCGTTCCGGGACCCCCACCCGGAGGACGACTAACATCTATTCTTTCTTTGCTTTGATTATTAGGCTTAACCAGACGATACGATCCACCAATAACGTTAGGCTTGAGTACATATCACAACAAACATCGCCATCACTGATCAGCTAGGGTTTCCATGCCATGAAAACCCTAGATGTATCTAATTTCACATTTGTAAGGAAGAGAGTGGTACATTTTAATTTTAGATTTGTACATGTACACTAGGCGACGAAGATGCTAGATCGACTCTGCCTCTTTTCCTATTGCTGGCAAATCGACTTCGAAAAGCAACAGGTATGTGTGCTTTAATCTATAACCATGAATCTTTACATAGCGCTATGGTTGATTTTGTGTAAGTATGAATATCAGGTGTTTGTGGTGGGACATGATTGTAGTGCACACACTGCCGACATCTTAGCCTTTTTCGACCAGATCAAGTCAAAGGAATTGTCGCTCTCGATGTTATGTTCTTTCCTAGATCTCTAGATATCAATGCAAATCAATCGTTGAGTTTTCAATTTGGATGTGTTAATATTATGAAGTGATGGAAAGGAGTATGTGAAATAGTGCTAATACAATTTTCAGGAATTCCAACCAAGTCAGATTTCGAGAACGAAATCTAATTTAAGTGGGGGAGAGTTATAACACCCTGTTTCGGGACATTTCTTAATTTAGGGTTTTGGTCTGTAATTCGATCAAGTAAAGGATTTGCACCTTGAGGAAGTAGACTTTAGACCCAATTGAATGTTAATAATACTGGTTAGGAGATCTAAGCCCTTGATTTGTGTGCTAGAACCAAAGGGTAAAATGGGAAATGTTACATGTCGGGATTCTTGCATGGGTTATAGTTTTAGTTCGACATGTATTAAGCAAAAATTAACCAAATACAATTGTGGGGTCTTCAATACCTTTCTATAAAGAATGCCGAAAATGGAGTTGAAACAAAGAAATTATGGTTGTTTCAAGTTGAATCGAAAGGTGGGGTTTTTTCCCTACGCAGGTCATAGATGCTGAATGATGAACGCGAGTTAAATGACCTACGCATGGTGTAGCCGCTGCTAACCAAAATCCTAACCCTAAGGGTCTAAGTCGTATTTAAGGACTCTAACTTCTTGGAATCCTTCCCATTTCCATCCTCCATGACCTCATACTGTTCCTATGAAACCCTATCCTCCATTTATGAATTTTGGAGCTTTTAGAGAGCTTTAAGTGTTCTTTGAAGGAAGAATGTGTTGGATAAGGTGTCTAAGTCCATAACTATATTTGGTATGTACTTGACCCGATTTGGCATGACCCATTTGGGTTGCATGGCATCAGAACAATTTGGATAGACTTTTGTGAGAAGAGGATATTTATGATTTATTAATATATTATAAGTTCTAATATATTAATATGAAATCATATTATTTAATTAGTATTGATTAAGAATTAGTTTGGAATTAATTTTGTGATCAAAAGAGACTACTTAAATAAATGGGGATTGATTTGGTAAATCATTCATTCTTGTATAGTGGGCTAATGATCCATAGTTTTTCATGATGGGCTAAACCCATGTGGTGACCCATGGATACTCCATGGAGGTTAAAACCCATGGATCATGAGGAATATGGAAAGGCATGAGTTACATGGTGTAACCCTAATG